AAAAAAAAAAAAAAAAAAAAAAAAAAAAAAAAAAAAAAAAAAAAAAAAAAAAAGGAAATGGATGTAAGAGGAAAGTCAGAAAAGATCATTGCCCAGAACGTATCCGGGCGAGCAGAACTATGGTATGATTATCTAGGCAGGGACACCCGCCAGAGTTGGGACAAGCTTAAGCAAAGTTGCCTGGTGCGATTCAAACTCCCGGACATTGACCAGAGCGTTTTATTGCCTCGTCTGCCACAATGATTGGTGGGCGACCAGATCGGAAGGCTAGGACGGCAAGGGCATGCATATTACCCAGGCAATCCCGGTGGGTCCCTGTTGGGAGACCTTGAGCCACTTTTATTCCGAAATTAGCCTTCTGGGAGCCGTACTGCGCCTGGAAATCATCTGCTCTCTCCAGGAACGCTGTGATTATTTCGTCCCTTCCTTGTTTCATCGAGTCGTACCGAGTCTCCATACGGGTTATCTCGGCCATCGATGTAAAATTTGGTCGCCATCCCGATGGCTCCTTCGCTCTCTCTGCGGGATGCTGGGAAGAGAGACTTGATCCTGTTCCACATGCGACAGAAAAACCAAGTTGATAATGCCACTGCTTGGAAATTGATTACAGACGCCTATTCAGAGAAGTAGTACAGTAGGTAGAATGGGGTGCGGTGCAATCCAGGGGTGGGAATTAGCGTATGCAGGGGTGTTCTGCACCAGAGTGCTTTGCAGTGCTTCCGTGGAACATGCTGCTTGCTATAAATTTGGAAATGAGGCAGGAGTAGATAAAAGCGAAGCCGGCGCGGAGTACTGGGAGGTGGCAGGCGAGACAGGATCAGAGGGCTCGGATATTTTTCTAAATAATGTCAGTCCTTCGAGTACGGATGGTTTCAGGATTCGTACTCACGATATGAAAATGGGCGAAAATGAGGTTGAAATGCGAACAGTCTGCGAGATGAGCGCAGAGAAAAAAGAGGGAATGAATGAGTTTTAAGTAGGAGAGGGGGTTAAAGAAAAGAGACAGGAAGGTATATATATAGAAGGAAAGAGAGACTGGTATAGAAATAAAGGGTGGAAGTTGGGGATACTACATGTAGTAACTTTCAATTCTTGAAATGACGTTTAGAAAGACATTTAGAAAGACATCTAAATAGACATGTCCGGGTGTGTTGTGGAAGCATGCTGTCGGCGAATCCTTGTTATATACGTTCCCACCTGGCTTCACCATTCAGGTCAAATGATACTTTGAAACACTACCGTACATTACCTACTGTCGGATTACCCCATCCTCCGTGGATGCCTGTTCTTGCCGACTGACTGCTTGTTTGCCTTTGTGGCCTCTATAAAACGTCTTTTCTTTGCTAGTTTGAATGTAGCAGATTCTTCTTCCTCTCTTGATCTCCCTGGTAGTTAATAGCTCAACACCTATACACGATTTCCTCTACCGCTTTTTGGCTTTCCCATTCCTTATTGATGTCTTTCTAGATATCTTCTATATTTCTATGGCAATTCTTTTGGTAAGATGATCTGCATCTAAAAGTGTTTCAGCTGGGAAATTTAGCACAGGGTTACCTCTGTCAGTCTTATTGTTGTTATTTGAACAGACCAGACTTTGGCATTGAAACTGATTTAATTCACAAGGAATGACGTTCTGCTGGCCACGAAGGGACGCCACTTTCTTGTTGTTTGTTGCGCAGCTTAGTGTAAGCCTATAATTGGTTCGCGCTTTGGCGCAGTCACTGCCCGATTCTGCCTTGGCTTGTTACTCTTTTATGGGAGTACGGAATACTTGAAAGGAATTTAACATCACTCTCAAAGAACACTCTACATGTAAATCATCAAAACGTAAAGGCGCCGCAATGTTAAGGGTTCTTGACCAAGTGAGGCAACCCTTTTTGTGACTTGTAAGAAGGAAAATGGGACTGCCCGAAACAGCAGGGTTGTTTCTTCCTAAAAGGTCGCCATGCATCGAGCCAGTAAACAGCCTTGTGTCAAGATATTACTCTGTACAGAGGTCCTGCTGTCTCACAGCCACACAGCTCACATGAGTCACGACAGTCTTGGGTACATATAGGCTGAGGCTCACCGTCTTGCAGGATAGACTATCCTCTCGCTGATATTTTCAAGTTTCCCTTGATTTCCCAGTCCTGAAAATCGCCCCAAATATCCGCTTTTACAAGCCTCAACCACTACCTCAGAAAACAAATATTCCACTCCGGAATATGACCAGTCTTTTCACTTCACGCTGTCTTCGTTGTGATGGGCCTACCAGAGAGCGGCGATGTCTTCCATCCAACGTGAATGGTAATGCATACCGTCCATACTACGTCTGCTGTCTTTGTAAGAAATTTGCTTGCTTTGGAGACAAACGAGGTGTTTCGCCAGAAAACCCCGCATGTTCCTGTGAAAACAGAAGGCAGTATAGCAGACGGGTCATAGCAGGTTCGGATTCGACATATCCACGGTCGATATCCTACCAGTGCGCTACAGGGAAATGTCCATTTTTCGGATACATGACAGATGATGATGGTTGGATTTTGCTTTACAATGGTTCTCTTTGCCCTCGCTACTTGGAATCAATTGGATTCTAAGAGCATCGATCTCCGCATGGGGCAGTCAGTTAATATCCTCTATTCCAATGATTGCTTCAAGTTATCTAACCATTTTACTTGCTCCTAGGATCCTGACGACGAGGAATGTTGGAAGATATTGGACAAAATTTTGAACTCCATTTGTTTTTCATGAGTGACCACTGGGATATTACTTTATGCGGCCTTGAAGTCTTGATCTTCAAGACATCTCTAGGACTGCTAGATCTTCAAGTTTGAAGTGTGATGAAGTCCTTGTATCGTCTTTAGAATGCCAATTCCGTAGACAAAGCAAATTTTATTTGATCTGAAAAACATAGCTAGGTCAAGGTCAAGGCCAAGTCAAGGTCAAGCTGTCGTCCTCATGGTTTAGGTATACATGAGACCATTGATACTCCTGCACTTGCCTCTATTTGCTTCAACCCACCGCCCCTCTCCTTTACGTACTTCGATATGTTGTCACTCCTCACAAAGAAGCCAATTATCCGTTTCAATGATCTCCGGGAGAAGACAATTTTTGAAAACCTCACCGTGCCACTTGCTGGTGCAGGAAACACGCTTTGAAAAGTCGAGACTGTTAAATACGTCTGCCAATCGGGCCTTGACCTTGTAGGGGTTGGATGACACCAAGCCGCGACAAAGTGAGAAAATCAATTTGACATTCGTAAACAGAGTGTCTGGGCGAAAACTCGCCGACCTATAGCAGTACCTAGAGCGGCTCCAGCAAGAATTTCTGGTGAACGTCCAATCACTTGATTTTGCCGCAATTTCCTACAAAAAACAATTAAAGATCATCCAAGAATCAGATATATTGGCCGATATCCATGGATCAGGTCTCACACATAGTATCTTCCTGCCTCCTGGATCAGTGATGTGGAAATCCTACCACCTGGCCTAAATCAAAAGGGCTTTCGCAGTGTTGCTTCTCTACGGGGGTGACGACTATTTCAAAACACATACACCAAGACCATCTTCCAACCACAGCGGTGACTGGCACTCTGAAGATGTTTGCGTGGATGTTGAGCAATTTATGCATGTGGTGAATGGAGCCATTAAGATAATCCATAACAAGGGTCTGCGGAGTTATGATTTTTGAATAGATAATTTTCGCCGCATGGAGTCTTTCTGTTTGCGGTCTATCCTAATCGTCCCATCCCAGTTGAATAAAGATAGGCACAGAGTATAGCTGTACGCTCTTCCTAGATTCCTCTTCTACAGATGCTCCTGAGGTCTAGTAGCATCGAAGCCCCCAGCGCCAAAAATTTCCATATTGATCCTGGTCGACGTTACCCCTTGAAAGAGTAAAGAGCTCTTCACTGTTTCGAGAAACGGAGACGGCCCACAGATGTAGTATCTTGTATACAAATCATCGATGAAAAGATCCTTGTTCACGTCAAGACGCCGTAGGTCGATACGACCTACATGGTGATAGTCTTTACCGGGCTGGTCACTTTCTCGGGGACATTCAACAAAGAACGTCAGCTTGACTGTCGGGTTTCGGCCACTGATCTCCGTGATCTCTTTGAAGAAGGCCCGTGCAGACGTAGTTCTCGTGGCATAGACGAGATGGACATGGCGCGCCATGTTGGGTGCAGTTGATGTGAGGAATTTCAAAATACACAATAAAGGTGTTATGCCAACACCACCAGCAATGAGAACAACAGGTGATATCTCACGGACACTATTCAAGAGAAAGTTGCCCCGAGGATGGGAAACCTGCACAATTTTGCCAGGTGTCTCAACTTCATGGAGAGTATTCGACAATAGGCCAGGAACAAATTGCTGTCCTTTTTCTCGTTTCACGCTGATCCGGTAATATGTCGGGGAAGGAATATCGCTCATTGAATATTGCCGTGCCTGCATATACCCAAGATGCCATACATGAGCCCGGACAGAAACGTATTGACCAGGAACAAACGACGGAAGGGGCTTCCCATCGACAGGAGAGAGATAGAATGAAGAAATTTCATCTGATTCACGGGAGATGTCCGTGATGCGAAAATCCCTCCAGGCTTTCCATTCCTCATGCTGGTCATAGAGAGAGGCCTCTTTCTGAATCATGATGCCGGCGAGGTGGCCATAAGCGGCAGTCCAGGCGTCTTGGATGTTTTCCGTGAAATTGGCTCCTAGAACCTCGTGCATTGCCCCAATAAGGTACTTGCCGACGATGTCATACTGATTTGGGGTGATTTCCAGAGATACATGTTTGTGGGAAATCAACTCCACCATAGGTCCTAGAGCTTCCAGATTGCGAATGTTCGCCGCGTAGACGCAAAGAGCTTTCGCAAGGACCTTTGCCTGATGTCCTGTATCTTGGTTCGTCTTGTTGAACACACCGTTCAACTCTGGATGGGCAGCAAGCATATTCTTATAAAATACTCTGGTAATTTCCTGCCCATACTGATCCACAACAGGAACAGTTTTGGTGATCAGCTCAGTCTGCTCTGGAGTCATGATGGAGCGTAGAGAATGATGAAAGAAAGACAGGCGATGTAGTTAGGTAGGGTAATTGGGGGTTAAAGCTTGAAGTTGACAAGATTGCTCTGTGGAAGAACAGCTTCTTAAAACTGTTTACGAATACAATTCACTTCTCTCTTATTGACTAGGCGCAAAGAGGCGGATACACGATTCCGAGATTGCTTCCGCAATAGCCGCTGTGGAGAATCCACAAGAGTTGATAGGTGCTAATATTGGTCACTATCAATAGACCTGATAGTTTTTAAATTTATCTACTATCGTGTTGAAAAGAACGCTGCTCCAAGCATCGCTCTCAATTACTGAAAATATCTACCTTGTCTTGTCACCCTGCTAGTGACGTCCTCACATTCCATAAGAACACAGAGAAGCAATATTTCATGATAAGAAGAGAACCATTCGGTACGTAGGTTAAAGACAAACAATCGATACATATAGTTGGCATATACTGTACCACCTAAAGTTTAGATAAATGATTATGTCCATACAGCACGGCGCGGGCTCCCTCGCGCAAAGATCTGACAATTTCGCCTGCAGGAATCACCTCCCTAATGAGTCCAACTCCAGTTCCGGCATATGTAGTAAGTCTCCCATTCATCCCGTATCCTTCGTCTCCACGGTTTAGCTCCACACGGTACAACTCTCGGTTTTTCACTTCACTTAGACCATTAAGATGGTCAACAAAGGTTCTATTGATAAGACCGCGGCCATCGTAACCCTCTGGCCATCCATGAATATCACGAACTTTGTCGTAGATCTTGGTCCTAACTGTGCTGGTTCCTCCGTCTGAGGCATCGAGTAACGCCTTTTGGTAGCCATGAGCGACCAATGATTCGGGGCTGGCGAGAAACCGTGTTCCCAGCACACACCCGTGGGCACCCAGGGCTATAGCGGCGGCAACACCTCGGCTGTCACTGATTCCACCAGCAGCAAAGATATCAATTTGCTTATGAGGGAACGGCCGAAGCTCTCGAAGTTTGTCCTTGATCTCTGGCACAAGCGAAATTATGCTCGCTCCCCGGGCTAGTGAATGCCCACCGGCATCCAGTCCCTGGACAACGATGACATCCGGCTCGATAGCCTCGACTACCTCGACTGCATCTGAGACACTCCCGACTTGGACCCAGATCTTGGTCCTAGATGCGGTGGCCTGTCTGATACCAGTGACCCAGGGGATGAGGTCCCTGAAGCCCCGTGGTGGAGCAAATAGCCAAACAGCAGCAGGGCAGTATCTGGAGAAGGAGGGGAGAGCCTTCTGCAAGGAGGCACTCCACGTTATGAAACCAACACCGACCGGTAGGAACTTTGGACTTCCTTCCTCGGCATCGATCCGAGTTTCCGCAGTGCCTTCCTGGAGCAGATCTTCGGCCTCCTCCAGCAAATCTTCAAGATGATCGCTGTGATAACCCGCAGCAATAAATCCTAGACCCCCTGCCATTGAGACGGCTGCGGCAAGCTTCGGCATGGCAACTTTAGCCATGGGTGCCGATACTATGAGCGGGGCCGTTGCCCAAGGGTAGTCGGCGTGCATGTTCTTCCGAAAGGACTGGAAAGGTGAACGCTGAGGTATGATTTCAGAGAGATATGAGAGGCAGCGAAAATGTGCCAGTCAGTAAAGAACAAAGTTTCAAGTAGTCGAGCAGTGGCAGGGGACTCATAATAACAGAATTGTACGGCTCTGCGAACAACTATAAAGCAAGGGTCCAAATCAGTATCCATATATGGCGACCCACTTTATGCGGCGCTTGCCCCGCACCTGCGCATATTCCTTTCGGGTCCGAGCGTTCTCCACAAGTCCCCTTAATTCTCGTGCGTTTTGTTGGAGTGATAAGGTATGTGCATACACATGGTAGGGATTCACCGCAATGACCGCAATATCCGAACCGCCGCATCTGCCGCAATCATCCGTATAGAGCGTGTCTTATCTCCGGCCAAGTAGAGCCCTGGGTTGGATTGGCAACGTCGGGAAGCATGGGGTCGAGGACTGTGGCGTATAGGAAACGTTGGCTCTAGCAAACTTGGATCCACTCGAAAGGACCGAAAGGACCGTGCCAGAGGAACCTACCGAACAAGTCCGCAATATCCGATTTGATACTCCGTGGAGCGGATAGCACACAAGATAACGCGAGCAAGTATAGTCCCATAACCCCATAACCCTTTCAATACTAAAGGTAATAGGCCGCCACCTTGCAAACATTCATCATATCCTCTTCTTCTAAAGAACTTATCCTTTGTGCTCTCAGACCACTTATCCTGTGGGCTCTAACGATAAGAATGGCTGCAAACACCGGGGGAACCGCCTCGACAGGCCCAACAGTGCGCATGACACATGACCCGATTGTGTCCCCTGCCGACACTCCCAATTTCCTTGACAATGAATTCGTACCGTCTAAGGCTACCCAGTGGATTCCTGTCTATGATCCCGCCACCAACAATCTGGTCACGCGCGTCCCTCAATCTACCGCGAAGGAACTCTCTATGGCAGTTTCCTCAGCCCAAAAGGCATTTCCGGCATGGCGGGCCACCAGTATCATTGCACGGCAGCAAATTATGTTCCGCTTTACCCATCTTATCAAGGAGAACTGGGACCGCTTGGCTGCCTCAATTACACTAGAGCAAGGCAAAACTTTCAAGGACGCCCGAGGAGATGTTTTACGTGGATTGCAGGTGGCCGAAACTGCATGTGGTATCACTACTCAGCTCCCAGGTGATGTTCTCGAAGTTGCTCGAGACATGGAAACAAGAAGCTATAGAGAACCTCTTGGGGTTGTCGCTGCCATTTGCCCATTCAACTTTCCCGCCATGATTCCTCTTTGGTGTATCCCGATCGCAGTCGTGACCGGAAACACTCTGATATTGAAACCGTCAGAGAGAGACCCGGGTGCTGCTTTGATTCTCGCCGAACTTGCTCGAGAAGCAGGGCTCCCGAAAGGAGTCTTGAATATCGTCCATGGTGCTGTGGATACCGTCAACTTTATTATTGACGAACCAGCAATTCGTGCAATCAGCTTTGTTGGTAGCAACCGTGCTGGTGAATATATCTACTCACGAGGCTCAGTCAATGGAAAGCGCGTTCAAGCGAACCTTGGGGCTAAGAATCACGCCGTCCTTCTCCCGGATGCAGACAAAGAGACAGCTCTCAATGCGATAGCAGGTGCTGCATTTGGGGCGGCAGGACAGCGTTGTATGGCATTAAGTGTACTTGTGACCGTTGGCGAAAGTTCTTGTTATCTACCGGAACTAGTTGAGAAGGCTCGAAAGCTAGTCGTGTCTGCTGGGTTCGAGAAAGAAACCGACGTCGGTCCAGTGATCAGTCCCGAAAGTAGAACGAGAATTGAGTCACTCATCGCAAGCGCCGAGCGTGAAGGAGCATTAATTGTCCTAGACGGTAGAGGATACAAACCAGAGAATTACCCCCATGGGAACTTTGTGAGTGATAACCACTTGTACCTCACATTCCCTCTTTACTAACTTTCATTAGGTGGCGCCCACGGTTATCACTAATGTCAACACAAACATGACATGTTACAAAGAAGAGATCTTTGGCCCTGTATTAGTTTGTATCCCTGCGGAGAACCTGGAAGAAGCTGTTGACCTTCTCAACGCAAATGACTATGGTAACGGCGCATCTATTTTCACCAAGTCGGGCTCGTCGGCCTCATATTTCCAAAAGAATATCGAGGCAGGACAAGTCGGTATCAATGTTGCAATTCCAGTTCCGCTTCCCATGTTCTCCTTCACTGGAAACAAGAAGAGCGTTGCGGGGGGTGGAGCAAACACGTTTTATGGAAAGCCCGGGCTGGCATTTTATACCCAGCAAAAGACTGTTACCAGTCTTTGGCGCCGGGAAAATGTTGATTCTGGCAAGCAGGTCGTCATGCCATCCCACCTGTAATATGGCACGGCGGCCTTTCTTCTCTGGGACGACTAGGTCGTATGTTACCAAATTGTGAAGAACTATTTCCCTATAGTCGAGTGACCAGTCAATTCAATGTTAAATCCTATGTTCCTCCACCATTCTATATATTCCAACTCACTGCTTCGTAATAGTGTGCTAGATAGCTTATGGCTATCATCCCAGATGACGTATCACATCAAGCTCTCGGAGCCGACGGCCTTGAAACTGGGAGTTGAGAAACATACTTGCTTCTTGGAGTGGCTTATTGTACACGCTATTTCTTGTTACACCATTGGTGAGGGCTGATATCAGATGACTCTACTATAGTGCAGTGATAGGACTGCTTTTGGAAAAGGTTTCACGCGGACATGGCGACGGGCTGCTACTATAGGCTTGCAGTGATAGATTCCGACTGGGTCCTATCTGTTGCACCTGTTGGCGTTGAGGGGTTTTCCTATGGTATCTATCGCCTATCTGCTATACATAGATAGCCATAGAGCCAGCTTATTCGCCACCGGAAAGAAACATTGATAGCGTCTCAAAGAGAAATAATTGTGTTTCTTGGCATAGCGGGTATTGCGGAAAGGCCTTATAAGTGCCAACTTTGCGAAGAGTGTTTCTGCGTTAAAGAATGAAGGGTTCTCCGTGTGAATATTGACCTGTACAATTTATCTGTCATTGAGATTTGGCTTGCTTAGCTACTTATAGCAGGATTTATATTGAATTAGAACACATCAAGCTGCCTAGCAATCTCAAGGTCCTGCGAAGCAATTGCCTATCTTGAGTATACATCTGAGTTTTGCGGCGCTCTTCTAGACTATAGATACCGAACTGAGCTCCGCGGAGATATGCTGCGAAGGCGTTCGTGGAATCCGGGGTACTGGCTATGGGTAAGATTAGAGATAATAGCGGAGTAATCGACGCATTGCCCTCCCAATTTTCCATATATTAAGGGCATCAGTTGACCGCAACCAGGAGACAGAATTATATATACCATCTGAAACTGATTAGTGATTTCCTCCCTACATTTTACATTACTACTCAATCATCAACTTCACAATATGTCTGAAAAAATGGAGGGTGTGACGGAGACACTTTCTCCAATGCGTACAGCAGAAAGTGTCATTCTTCCAATTCCCCGAGATACCTTTGAGAAGCTCTACCTTACCCCTAAGATGCCGATTGCGGGAAATCTGCGGCGCACTTTCGGTAACCCAACCCCCATATCGTTGATGGGCTTTTTAGTAGCCGCGACACCCAATGCAATGCTCCATATGGGTTGGAGGGGAGCTGGTGGAGATGGAGGGGCCATCCTGTGAGCTTAAACCTCGGAAGCCAAAGCCGAATATCCAATAACGAGTGAAAATTAGCCCAGCGTTTATCTTTTTTGGAGGGATGATCCAGGTCATCGGTGCAATCGGCGAGTGGATACTCGGAAACACCTTTTCCTGTGCGGTTTTCTTTACCTACGGTAAGGTCTTTCTCATTCCCAAAATACATAGAGAAGACGCTGATTTTCCATAGGGGCGTTCTGGCTTGCTCAAGGAGCGTCCCTCATGCCTTTCTTTGCAGTTGGTGCGAAATATTCCCCTACGGGTGACGCCTTAGATGGAGTGGAGACAACTGGGTACCATGCAACAGCAGGTAGGTAGCATTTCACGACCATTAGCCAGGGTTTCCATTTCTAATACGCGTATAAAAGGCCTATATTACATCATTTTGGCCTTGGTCACCCTGGTCTATTTGATATGCGCCCTCCGCACCAACGTCTGTCTTGTCCTTGCATTGTTTTTCCTGGTGATTGCATATTGCCTCTATGGAGCCGTCCACTTCTACACTGCGGTTGGAAAAGGTGCTTTTGCAGCCAAGATGGAAATGGTACGTGATTAACATATACACCAGCCCATCTGCTGGAGAAATTTACTAATGAGTTTCTACAAGGCTGCTGGTGCATGCAATTTCGTGCTTTGTGTCCCGATATGGTATATATTCGTAGCACAAATGCTGGAATCAATTGACTTTCCCCTGGTTCTACCAGTTGGGGATTTGAGTGAGGTGATTCGAGGACGAACCCAAAAGGCAAGAAAGGGAGCCGAAGATGAGGCATAAAGCAATTTCAATTTTTGCTATCTTTCCAACATGCCTGCCAGCTTATACCTTCCATAACTCTGATATCGTGAACAAGCTTTATATCGAAATCGGCCTGCTAGATCATTTATGCTCCTGTAAATTCCCTTCATTAGCAGAAGATGATATTACGGTCTGGTTACGTAGCTAGCATCCTCCATTTTGCGGGAGAACGAACCATCTGCAACACAAGGAGTCTGATTTTGTTGCAGAGCCACACATAGTATCCAGGTTCGGTCATCTGGGCTTGCTCGCTTTTGGCATACAAATACCATAACTGGAACTACGTGCAGATGGATAGATACCCATTAACCTAGCCGAAGCTTTGACTTTAGTCGAACGCCCGCAGCACCCGCCAACCTCCGACAGCCGCATCACCTGGACGACCCGCCCTGCCATTCCGCCTCCGTGGGTATGGGAACTCGAAAAGCAAAACCCCATCAGGAAATAGCTCTCGTGCTGTATCCTTGGGCCCGGAACATTATTTTGGTTCTTTGTCTAAGTGGCCCAGGAGGGAATGGCCCGTCTCTGTAAGTAACCCGCGAGCCGTTACGGTCCCGCAATATCCGCCTCCCCGACCTCACCTGGGTCATCCCAAATCCCAACCCAACAGAATCAATCCACGTTGGCACGAAAGCGGTGACTGGATAATACAAGATAATCGAGGGCTTTTAAACCCGTGTTATCGGCTGATGGGGCAATACCAAGTCATAGGGCAAGTGGCCTCAAAAAGTGTCCACCCTTTTTCTTCGCAGGCAAGATATCTTTCCGTTGCAGTCTGCTCAGCCCTTTGGATGTATGTATCAAGGTGGATTGCATATCAGGAACCAACGAAGTTCTTGCATCTCCCGAAGAAGGCTTCCCCAACGCTGTCCAGGACAGTGTTTTTCCTGGTACTGTACTTGCGGCCACAAATGGGAACGGAAGCTTTCATTACGCCAAGGCCTTTGGACATAAGACTGTCGACAGAACCCAAACTCCACTCGCAGCGAATTTGGATATGGTGAATATATCCATGACAAAGCTTCTTACGTCCATTGCCGCCCTTCGGTTGGTTGAGCGTCAAATCCTGGATCTGGGCCAGGATGCCTCCTCCATCATCCCCGCCTTGGCTGTCCAACAGATTTTGACGGGACGGAATAGATCTGGGCATTATATTACGCACAAACGAAAGGACGCGATAACTCTTCGTTATCTTCTCGCCCACAGCAGCGGTGCCGATTATGACATGAGCAATGCGAACTTGGCAAAGGTGACGTCGTCTCTTGATAGAAGGGTCGACATGGGCGCTACAGAAGTGGCCGAATGGAAAAGCTCTCTCGTAGCATCTAGATTTAGTAAACATTTTGGATGGATGCATGACAATTTTTCTTTCAACGCTAATGCCGAGATACATCTATTTGCAGGCCAGAAATTCGCAGATGTAGACTAGCTCTCAGGAAGCTTCGGCCCAGAAAAGCCCCGGATATATATCGCACATGCTCGAGAGGAAGTGAATAGGAAGGACATCGCGGCCAGGATAGCTTGGTGCTAGTGAATACACGGCAGAGTCCGGTTATACATAACCGGAATAAATCCTTGTGCAGAGCACACCACACTTTATTGCGGCACACCGCCAGTTCCGAATAGCTCCAATTTGATCCGATCTGAGGGGACTGAGCGCGCTTTCAAGGCTGCCGCCGTATCGCTCATGAAGCCTTCGGGGCCGCAGACATAGTATTCCGTCTGCTTGTTGTCCAGATACAGGTCAGCCTCTAGGTCCAACGCCTCGAGATTCACGCGTCCAGCATGATGATATGTGACCCCTTCGGCGTCCTCATCGGAGGGCTCGGCGGTGAAGAGTGTCACCTGGATGTTGGGATGCTTTTTGGATATGGTTTGGACATGGTCTTGGAATGCCCGTGCTTTGGTAGTACGCGAGCCATGAATGAAGTGAACCTTGCGGCGACTGGAGGTTGCCACAATAGTGTTCAGAATTGACATCAATGGAGTGATCCCTACACCAGCCGATAGCAGCACGAGAGGATGTGTTGACTGCTCAGAAGTCAAGAAGAAATCACCGCGCGGATGGGATACTTGGATGGTATCCCCTTCTTCAGTATCATCGTGAAGAACGCTCGAAACATAGCCAAAGGGGTTATTCACGCCCGACGTAGGACCTGCCCCTGTCTCTTTCTTAACGCTGATTCGATAGAACTCAGATCGGGGCCTGTCGCTGAGAGAGTATTGACGAGGTTGCAGATATTTGAGCCTAGGAATGTCGACTTTCACCGAAATGTATTGGCCCGGATGGAAGATTGGGAGTGGTTCTTTATCGGTCGGCTTTAAGTAGAAGGACGTGATCTCACTAGACTCGATATTCTTCCTGACAACTATAAAGTTGCGCCAAGTAGTCCAACCAGAGTTTTCTTTGTAGAGAGCGGCTTCCCGGCTGATCAAAACATTCGCAAGAGCCCAGTATGCAGTTTCCCAAGCGTCATGGACATCTTTTGTCAATGCACTGCCCAAAACTTCCTTCATGGCGCGGAGCAAATACTCCCCAACGATCTCATACCTGGTGAAATATACAAGGACGCATGCTTGTTGCAAATCAATTCAACAGCAGGGCCAAGTGCAGCCAAGTCATCAATATGCAAGGCGTATGCATAGAGAGCACCAGCTAAAGCGCGAGCTTGGTGCCCGCTAGCCTGGTTGGCGGTATTGAAGACTTCGTTCAATTCCGGATGCTCGGCAAGCAAGGTCTGATAGAAAACGGATGAAATTGTGTGCCCATGCTCTTCGAGGACTGGAATGGTGGCTTTGATGATCTCAATCTGTCCAGACGTGAGAGAAGCGGGCCACGAAGAATGCTTCGACTTTGGTCGGTTCCGAATAACTTTGATAGAATTGAAGATAAAATATGCAAGTGCAGAGCCAACGAGCACTCGTGTAGGGATGGTGAGTTGAGCAGA